TGTGTTATGTCAGAATATTATTGGTTAAAAAGATCAATAAACAGTTTGTATACTTTTAATATTTTTTAAAAATAAATAAAACATGATTCATTACATAATATTCATCTAAATTTAAAGTAATTAAATCTTTTAAAAAATCCATGATCAATAAAAATAAAATATCATTCAAACAGGAACATATATATTGTTAGATATACTGTTCCCAGATTCGAAAGAGAACAAAAATGTTCAATTTAAAAAACTTTCTAGTTGTTGTATGTGAAAGGATTCCGGTAATAAGGAGATATAAAATTAACAAGAACAAAATTGTGTTATAATTTGAACCAGTTTCTATCTTTAATTTTAATAAAAAGAAATTTTTCATAAATTTTAAAACATTTTGCCATAGATTTCATGTACATGTAAATATTAACCTTTCTTGTCTTTGGTGATAATTAAACATAGATACAGACTTAATACTGCACTGAAATCTAAATCTTTATTTGTCATGATCCATTTAAAAAAGAATTCTTAAATCTATAAATTTATCTTAGGTCTATAGATCTATAAGTAACCATATTCAATGTCAACAACAAAGTCTCCCTATTTTCCCGCCTAAATGACAGGAAGTAGATATAAATAGATTTAACATGTGCTTATGGATTAAATTTGCAAGATCACTTCTGTTATTCATTAATGATCATATGGATATAGTTTTTATTTATAAAATAGAATAGATTGCAGTTAATTGTAAATAATCTTGAATATTCTACGTGAACTAACTGGGTCATGTGATCCTTCCCCTTTAAATTACTTGTTGACAGTTTAAACCGGAATACACAAATTAATAACAAGATGATGATATCCTCATTACATCTTTTCAGTAAACAGGGCCTTGATTATATATGTATGTGATCACACAGTATAGCATGAAACTAGACAAACAAATTTCAGCATTTCTGATTCATAGTTATTGAGGAAAAAAAATAAATGAAAAATTTCATACATGGCAATTATCATTTTATAGGTATGAAATATATGTAATCAGCAAACAGGAAGTTGATATGTAGTGGATGTGAAAACCCATTGCACATCATGTTAATAGCATGATCACATGAAGTTATTACAATTTACAGGCAGCTCTGATTCTGAAAACTAGAGGCTCTAAGGAGCCTGTGTCACTCACCTGGATCTATTCACATCTTCAACAATGGCAACTCTCCAACAAAGTAGAATTGAATATAATTCATGACTGATATATCTTGTATTCTTGATCATTTTTTCTGTTTAATTTCTCTCTATCTACTGTAGATTTTGCCAAAACACAAAAATGGGTAAAAATAATCTTTCAAGGGCAGTAACTCCTATAAAAAATGACTGACCATTTTAGCTTAGTTGACCTATTTGTTGATTTTGTCTTGTTGATGATTTTTACTGTCAACCATTTCTCTCTATTTTCTATAAGGAGTCAACCGACAATTTCAGCTACTTAGATCCATTTGTAGATCTTGTCTTGCTGATCATTTTTGTTTCTTAAATTTGCTATTTATCTTTTATAGTTTTCAAGATAATAGGCAAAAATGCAAAAATGTCGTAAAACGGCTATAGGTGTAACACCACTAATTCGGCCCGGCCAGAAAGCACATACCAGAAAGTAGTACATATTTAACACAAAATAGTTCCTACGCATGAGTGTAACTTTCAAAATATGTAGAATATTTAGGTATTGTTGATATCAAATGAAAGCGGAATGACTGGTGATCATTGTAGAACACTTTTTGACTTATAATTTTGAATATTAAAAAAACTGCACCAAATTTTATAAAGAGGGTACTTTTTGCCTGTATGTCAGATCTGAAGTACCTGTTTTGGTACATCCGAAGTTCCGGGAACCAGTTCTTTCTTATATGCCATTAAAGGTATGTTGATTTTTCCAGTACAAGACACCATAAAGTGTTGCTTTGACATGCAATGATTGTCACTTTATTTGAACTTGAAACAAAAGAGCTGTGTCTGCTTGAAATTGAGGAATTTAACATAGAAAGCAATGGGGCCATGAATTAGTGGTGTACTTCCTATTACAGAGAATCATCAGAAATTCAATTTTTAGAAGTTGTACCTATTCCAATGAAAATAAGTCATATTTGATGTAAGTAAACATGTTTAATCAACTTTTTTGGATGAACAATTCTGTTTATGGGAAATTTCAGCTCTTAAATTGACATAATCAGGTATTTTAACCTTTTATGGTCACACAACATGCATGCAGTTAAGACTTGACTCCAAATTCTTATTTTTGCATTATTTGGGATTGCAATCAATAAAACATGTATATAATGACTTGTTTATGGTAAAAAAATAGCTCTTGGTCAAATAATCCTATGATTTTTTAAGTTTTTTTGTTTTTCTTATGATAGCCTTTTACAATCTAGGCAATTGGTATATACTCATATAAGAATTCCAAAATCTCACTGTACATGCAATTTTGAACCAGTTTAGCAAGTTATCCAGCTGAAAAATATATAAATTGCTCTTTATAATCTATGTTGTACCACAGAAGTATGGTTTATACCAAAAATGTCCCTTTTCCAATTTGAAGAAAAAAGGGGGGACAATTTTCTCAATTATGACTTAGGTTTGGTCTAATTATATTTTTATTAAATGAACAAACTCTGGTGAAATATGACTATTGGTAAGCACATTGTTTTCCTAACAGAAATTATTAAATACAACAATGATATTGAGAATAAAATAAGTATATTGGCCATTTATAATATCCATATGAAGTTTTCTTTGAATAACCTATATGTTACTACCAGTCCAATTTGAGCTTAAAATTAGTAAAATAGTATTTGGACTTAAGCTTTATGTGTTTTTTATTGCTTGAAATAGATCATAGAATGAAATAAAGTGATGCTGAAGTCAGTATAGCAAGTTTGGTTCTGTTATAGGTGTAACACCACTAATTCGGCCCGGCCAGAAAGCACATACCAGAAAGTAGTACATATTTAACACAAAATAGTTCCTACGCATGAGTGTAACTTTCAAAATATGTAGAATATTTAGGTATTGTTGATATCAAATGAAAGCGGAATGACTGGTGATCATTGTAGAACACTTTTTGACTTATAATTTTGAATATTAAAAAAACTGCACCAAATTTTATAAAGAGGGTACTTTTTGCCTGTATGTCAGATCTGAAGTACCTGTTTTGGTACATCCGAAGTTCCGGGAACCAGTTCTTTCTTATATGCCATTAAAGGTATGTTGATTTTTCCAGTACAAGACACCATAAAGTGTTGCTTTGACATGCAATGATTGTCACTTTATTTGAACTTGAAACAAAAGAGCTGTGTCTGCTTGAAATTGAGGAATTTAACATAGAAAGCAATGGGGCCATGAATTAGTGGTGTACTTCCTATAGCTCCAATTAAAAGTGGACTTTTGGCAAAAGAACACTCTTTGTAAATGCTGATAGAACTGTATACCAAATACCATTGACTTATCATAAGTCATCCACTTTAAACAAACCTAAACACAAACATTAACTTGAAAAGTATGTAAAATTTTGAAAGTCAATGAACCATGATGAGGTAGTGGGGCTATATAATCTCCATGGAAATAAGATTTGCAAATGCCAATACATTTGCATTCCAAATATCACTGACTGATTATTAGTGGTCCATCTTAAACTGATCTAATCACAAACTAATACATGTAAACTAAGAAAAAGTTTCAAAGTCAATAGACCATGACTGAGGGGGTAAGGACCAAATACTCCCCATGTAAATGAGATGTGCTTATGCTTATACAACTGCATACCAATTATCATTAACCTATCACTAATGGTTCCCCTTAAATTTCACCTAATCACAAACTAATACATGTAAATTAAAAGCAAAAGTATCAAAGTCAATAGAGCATGACTGAGGGGGCAGGGCCAAATAATCTACATGGAAATGAAATGTGCCAATGCTAATACAACTGCATACCAAATATTATTAGCTTCCACCATTAGTGGTTCACCATAAACTAGACCTCATCACAAACTAATACATTGTCGACACCGCCGACATCGGAAATAGCATACCTATGTCTCACTTTTTGACTCTGTCAAGGCGAAACAAAAATTAGTATAATTACCCATTTAAGGGCAATAACTCCTAGAAGGACAGTTTTGATGTAATAAACAGTGGGTAGATCTCATCAATCTAAACATTTTTGCAACTGTCAGATTTTCTCTATCTGTAGCAGTTTTCAAGATAATAGAAAAAACTTACATTTAACCTCTATGTTCTGTTTTTAACCATATTAATGTTGGTTGGCAGGTGGGATCATTGAACACATTTTTTTAAACTGGATACCACAATGATGATTGTGGCCAAGTTTGGTTCCAATTGGACTAAGATTTTAAGAGGAGAATTTTTTTGTAAATGGTGACAGACGATTGACATCAAGTAATGGCAAAAGCTTACACTGGCCCTTTGGCCTAGATGAGCTAAAAATGTGACAAATCAAATACTTCATATATAGCCACTATATGTAAGAATATATAAGTATGAGAAAAACAGGACGTTGTTGAGCAATTGAAGTCAAAATGTATCTTAAGTAGCTTGCTACCAAATTTCAGAAAGCTAAAGTGTGTAGGTCCTTATAAAATGCACTGAAAATTTCACTGGAAGGGCAGAAGAACAAGTGTAAACCAGTTTAACCCTGCCACATCATCATAGTGAGGTATGGCAACAGCTGATGAGCTCTTGATTATTCTAATCTGAGACAATGCTGAAATAACGGTTATTTGATATAAGTTTCACAAAATTTGACAACAATTATAAGTTTGAGAGCACCAATAATGAAATTTTCCTTATATCATACACCCCCCTCAAAAAAAAAAGTAAGTGAGTGACCACTTACAAAAATTGACAAACAGAATGCATGAAAAACACCAGTATTTCTGTATCCCCAGCTCTGTATTGATGGAGGGATATCAATTTCTAAGAAGAATAACATTTTAAGCATACCTTCACATTGTCAGGAGATAAAGCACCATGTTCCCAGGCAAACAGAATTTCTTGTGCAACAAATGGCATGTTAGTACACATTTCTTGCCACCTGGTCATACTGTAACATACATTTTAAATTACATACTGATTAAGATATGTTCAAAAGCAACTTTTTTTACTTGTGTTTTTCAAAATATCAAATAATGACATGCTAAAACTACCAAATTTTCACAATATATTTGCAGTGTGGGCCAATCAAAAAGTTCATTGTCTCTTCTTGTTTTGATTTATTAACTTTCTGGTATGAATAAAAGAAGATGTGGGATATAGATTAAAGTGAGAACATCCAAATGATGCAAGAAGGTTTTTAATTATAATTTTTGTGTTTCCTGTTATCCTTTTTATGTATAACTACAATGTTCATGTATATAATAAATAAGCTCATTTGGTGCATGAAATTAATTATCAATTCAAATTGTCCATTGGGTAAATCTAGCTAAACAAGCTGAACTATGAGCTTGTACTCACTAATGATACTCCCGCTATAAGTATTTGGTACCAAATTTCTCTGCTTTGTAGTTCTTAAGAAAAATGTGACATAAATTTTATACATGTTCATTGTGTGTAAAAATTAAACATTTGGTAAACAGGAAAAGGAATAGCATAATCACATCTAGCCTGATATCAAATTTCAGTAAGCTCCTATTAGTAGTTCTCCAGAAAAAGAAAAATGCCACGAATATTTCATACATGCCCATTTGCGTGAGAATGTAAAAGTACTCAGTAAACAGGAAGTTGATGAGAGATGGATGTACAAATGTATAACACAGTTTATATCATGTTAACATTAATCCAAATCCCAAATTTCAGAAAGCCTTGATTTGTAGTTATTGATAAAAAATACCATATAATTTCAAACATGACCATAATGTGTTAGAATATATAAGTATTAGGTAAACAGGAAGTGGACAAGGGATAAATCTGAAAATGAATCACACAGTAATGCATGCTCATAAGTTTGATAACAAATTTCAAGAAAATCTGATATGTATTTCCTGAGAAAAATAGACCCAAAATTTTATGGGACATTCAGACAAAAGGAATAAACTTATCACAATCGATTAAATGTTACCAACTAGAAGTTAGAATTACAGAACCCTACACCTTAGTAATTTGAACTTACATGTAGTTCAGTTCATGTGCTTTAAGTAGATTACCAAGTAACTGGTCCACTTTATTTTGTTCTGTAGGAGTGTGGTTATCTATACACTTATATTTACTATCCTCAGGTAAACACTGTGTGGCCCACTGATAGAAAAAGGTGTCAAAGAAATCAGGTGCTGTAGTTACTATCTGAAAGAAAATAAATCATGACTCGACATATAAAAATCAGAAGATGTGATATGATTGCCAATCAGACTACTTCCACCATAGACCAAATGACACAGAAGTTAACAACTATAGCTTACAGTGCAACCTTCAACAATGAGCAAAACCCATACCGCATAGTATTGAAATGTTTTGTTTAAAACACCGGCTTTTAAAAAATAAGATTCCAAAATGTAAATATAGATTCCACCACTGCAACAAGTGTGTTACGATATTTCTCCACTCGAGATAGATAAATTTTAATATTTAAAGCGCGAGGCTTGAGAGTGGAGAAATATCGTAATACACGAGTTAGACTGTTTGAATCTGTTTCTCTAATGATTTTTATCTTTCCTTTTCAAAGATTTGCAGAAAGTTGTGTTCTTTATATGTGATGTCATCAGGCATGGTCACCTTTTTTCATGACGTCAAAATAGGAAAATTCAGAAGAAACCAAGAAAATCTGACATCATAATTAAATTTGGACCAATCATTTGCCGAGAACAGATATTTCACTAGTGAGGAGAAATATTTTTCTCCCACCGACCAAGAAATGTGAAAATAGCACAAAATTAGAGAATATAATATTGCCTAGTAAGTTTCATTAAAAATTCAGTAAAAACTAAACATCTTAGAGTCACCTAAACATAATGATCTGTATGTTTAATTTTTTGTTCATTTGGTGTTCCAAGATTTGCAGTTGTGTAAATGAAAAGAAGAAACATATCTAAAGGGAAGAAAGGAAAAGAAACCAAAAAATAGAAAAGTGGATGATTTTAAAGCTCATTTTCATCCCCTAACATTCACCTTCCTTTTTAAGCATGTATAAAATATTTATTTAACTGAATTAGCATTTCAATATTCACCTTACTAAATATTCAGATAAAGTGTTACATGCAGAACAACAGCTTTATCAACTCAAAAAACAAAATGATAAGAGGTGCTTTTTTTTGTTATTTTTTTTGTGTGGATTTTTAAAATTAAACATCAATCAATTTTAGACAGACTGTCAATGTGTCTAAAGTTATAATATGATAATCCTTCTAAGTTTGACTTACTTCTGATCCATATAGTTGTGTGATATGACATAGCATCAAGAAGATAATCCTTCTAAGTTTTACTTACCTCTGATCCATATAGTTGTGTGATATGACATAGCATCAAGATGATAATCCTTCTAAGTTTGACTTACTTCTGATCCATATAGTTGTGTGATATGGCATAGCATCAAGAAGATAATCTTTCTAAGTCTGATTTACCTCTGATCCATATAGTTGTGTGATATGACATAGCATTAAGATGATAATCCTTCTAAGTTTGACTTACCTCTGATCCATATAGTTGTGTGATATGACATAGCATCAAGATGATAATCTTTCTAAGTTTGACTTACTTCTGATCCATATAGTTGTGTGATATGACATAGCATCAAGATGATAATCTTTCTAAGTTTGACTTACCTCTGATCCATATAGTTGTGTGATATGACATAGCATTAAGATGATAATCCTTCTAAGTTTGACTTACTTCTGATCCATATAGTTGTGTGATATGACATATCATTAAGATGATAATCCTTCTAAGTTTGACTTACCTCTGATCCATATAGTTGTGTGATATGACATAGCATTAAGATGATAATCCTTCTAAGTTTGACTTACCTCTGATCCATATAGTTGTGTGATATGACATAGCATTAAGAAGATAATCCTTCTAAGTTTGACTTACCTCTGATCCATATAGTTGTGTGATATGGCATAGCATTAAGATGATAACCTTTCGTTGTGTGATATGACATAGCATTAAGATGATAATCCTTCTAAGTTTGACTTACTTCTGATCCATATAGTTGTGTGATATGACATAGCATCAAGAAGATAATCCTTCTAAGTTTGACTTACCTCTGATCCATATAGTTGTGTGATATGACATAGCATAAAGATGATAATCCTTCTAAGTTTGACTTACCTCTGATCCATATAGTTGTGTGATATGACATAGCATTAAGATGATAATCCTTCTAAGTTTGACTTACTTCTGATCCATATAGTTGTGTGATATGGCATAGCATCAAGAAGATAATCTTTCTAAGTCTGACTTACCTTTGATCCATATAGTTGTGTGATATGACATAGCATAAAGATGATAATCCTTCTAAGTTTGACTTACCTCTGATCCATATAGTTGTGTGATATGACATAGCATTAAGATGATAATCCTTCTAAGTTTGACTAACCTCTGATCCATATAGTTGTGTGATATGACATAGCATTAAGATGATAATCCTTCTAAGTTTGACTTACCTCTGATCCATATAGTTGTGTGATATGACATAGCATCAAGAAGGAGATATCAAACAACAATGCCCTGTTCTGAGCTGCTTTAGAACTCTCCCCTTGTGTTTGTTGTACCTGTTTAGCATACTCATTTATCCTATAAAATTTTAAAATATAAAAATAACATGTTGGACATTTGTACTTTCAAAGCCATATCATAGCTATATCATTTGACAAAATAAACCATATTTGATACAATGCATAAAGAAATTCTTTTCATCTCATTTAAGATGTTTGAAAAAGTTTATAACTTACTATTGTAAGGAAGGGTTTTTTTGGATGATGGTTTACAGTCTTTTTTTATGTGAAAGATTCCAGTGGGTGGGTCAGGAAGAAAAAGAAAAAAAATCTTTTACAAGACATAAATATGGAAGTGTTATGTGCATTTACAAACTGGACATAAATGGTCATGGCAAGATGAACAAACTAGAGGCTCTCAAGAGCCTGAGTCGCTCACCTGTATCTACTGTAGTTACTAGTTTTGGAAATCATGTAAAATAAGGTTAAAATTATAATAATAGTATTAGATACCCTAATAATGATTGAGGCCAAGTTTGGTTTAATTTGGCCCAGTAGTAAAATTAAAAGCAGAAGATTTTTGAAAAAAGTCCACAAATATTACCAATTAATTGCAGAAAATTACTTTAAAGGACAATAACTCCAATAAGATGTCAATTGACGATTTTGGTCATGTTGACTTATTTGTAGAACTTTCTCTGCTTGATATATTTGCTGTTTACAGTATATCTCTATCTATAATGATATTCAAGATAATTAACAAAAATTGCAAAATAATGCTGTCATGAAAGTCTCCCAAACGAACACCAATTGAATACCCTTTCCTCCAAAATTTATTTTACCCAGGGCCTGTAAAATGCTGGAAATGCCTTTAAATGTTTTTTGGGATTACCCTTCAAAAAAAATTTGGGCAGGGGGGCATTCACTCAATATAAGTATGCTGAAAGAGATGATATAATAATGGTTTATAGAAAAGTAACTGAATAATTCTGAAAATGGAAAATATCAAACAGAAATTATAAGCACCCCCCCCCCCCCCCCCCCCCTGAAAAAATTGCACCCTCCAATGGAAAAAAAACTCAAGTCATTCCATTGTAGTCTTACAATAGTTCCTGAAGATCCCTTATCATGATTCAAATTAGTTTTCAAGTTGTGACCATTTGAAATTGTTTTTTTGCAATTTTCCCATAGACTTCTATAGTAAACTCCTATGTTCTATTTTTAGCCATGGCAGACATGTTGGTTGGATGGTAGGGTCATCAGATATATTTTTTCAATCAAGATACCCTATTAAAATTGTGGCTAAGTTTAATTCTATTTGGCCCAGTAGATTAAGTGGAGAAGATTTTTGTAAAAGATTACAAAAATTTATGAAAAATTGTTAAAAATTGACTGTAAAGAGCAATAACTCCTGAAAGGGAGAATTGACAATTTTGGTCATGCTGACTTATTTGTAGATCTTACTTTGCTGAACATTATTGCTGTTTACAGTTTATCTCTATCTATAATAATATTCAAGATAATAACCAAAAACTGCAAAATTTCCTTAAAATTACCAATTCAGGGGCAGCAACCTAACAATGGGTTGTCTGATTCGTCTGAAAATTTCAGGGCAAATAGATCTTAACCTGACGAACATTTCTACCCCTGTCAGATTTGCTCTAAATGCTTTAGTTTCAGAGATATAAGCCAAAAACTGCATTTTAACCCTTTGTTCTATTTAAGCCATGTCGGCCATGTTGGTTGGCAGGCAGGGTCATCCGACACATTTTTAAAACTAGATACCCTAATGATGATTGTGGCCAATTTGGTTAAATTTGGCCCAGTAGTTTCAGATGAGAAGATTTTTAAAAGTAAAAGTTAACGGATGATGGACAACAGACGACGACAACGACCAAGGACGACGGACGCCAATTGATGAGAAAAGCTCACTTGGCCCATTGGGCCAGGTGAGCTAAAAATTAAAAAACAAGAGTGCACATGCTGAAATATCTCACCTGCTTTACTTATCATCATTGAATTTATGTTGAAAGTGTCTAATATGAAGATTTTACTATAATTTTCAAATAGAATTAACAGACATGTTCATCTTACAATCATACCATTCATCAAATATAGTTAACCTATTGCTGATGGCATCCAAGAAACAGACCTTATACAAAAATTGAACATTGACCAATGAACCATCAAAATGAGGTCAAGGTCAGATGAACCATGCCAGACAACATGTATACCATGCAAACATTCCATACACCAAATAAAGTTGACCTATTGCTGGAAGCTGGATCAACAAAGCTCACTTAGCCCTGTGGGCCAGGTGAGCTAACAAAGAACATTGACCAATGAACCATGAAAATGAGGTCAAGGTCAGATGAAACCTGCCAATCAGACATGCACACATTATGATCGTTCCATACACCAAATATAGTTGACCTGTTGCTTATAGATCTGAGATATGGACTTGACCATGTAAACTTGATCACTGATCCATAAAATGAGATTGAGGTCAGTTGAACCCTGTCTGACGGACATATATACCTTGCAAAGATCCAATATACCAAATATAGTTATCCTATTATTTATAAAAAGTGAAAAATTCACATGGACAATAAGTACAATATAGGAAACTTTGTTACATAAGACATGCAGGCGAGACAAAAAATATGCTTTGCTGTCTATCAATTTTCATGAATCATGGTGAATAATGAGCGTCAAGCATGAATTTAAAGGGAAAATTCGCGATTTTTTACTTATCATCTTATTATGTTCATAATACCATAAAAAACATATTCACCAAGTTTTATCTGGATATGAAAACTAATAAAGAAGAAAATTGGGAATTATTAATTTTATTTATTCGAACTTCCTGACTTCTGTGACGTAGTTTAAGTCTTTTTGCATGCTGGGAGTGGAATTAATCTCATTTAGGTCTTGTTCGTTGATCATCTAATAACGCGATTTAAAGCGCATCGACGACTTTTGGCGTAGCTATTAACCAACTAATAATTAAGAAAGTAAAGTGATCAGCCGTGCAACTTTTAAAAATAAAATGTACGATTTATATTTTAAGGATTTCTGATATGATTATAGTCATTATAATAATAAAAGAAAATCATACAATAGAATATTTTTATGAATTTTTTTTCCGACGGATATTTTCAACAAACATATTTAACTGATAGTGTATTAAAAATGCATGTTTGTATTCTCACCTTTTACTTCAGTCTAGCAAACATTTTCCGCTAGTACCGTGTAAATACAATGTGTATTGTACTGTGACACTTAGTGACTACCTGTTGAATGCGTGGTTAAATTCAAGGTATTTAAAGGTTTGCATTCTGTAATTCTAATCTTTTGATCTTCACTCAGTGAATTTTAGCCGTCACGGTTTACCGTTCCAGGTGTGAACATCATTTCGTATGAATGATAAACGGGAGTGATAGTTTGAGACAGAAAATTAAAAAAAATATAATTATTTTGAGGGAGTAATATGGTGGCACAATAACTGGATAGCCGTGGTATATTTTTATATTTTCCGTAAGCTCAGTTTAAAATGAATTATGACTGCTGAATATTTTTGTAACAATGAAATACTGAATTAATTTAATTGAATAAATTAAAATTGGCATTCTAAACACGAGTGTATGAACTAAAAATTGTACTATTTTAAATTAGAATCAGTAACCTTGAATATTTGAAATAGATAATTACCAATTGCAATTATTTAATTTGGTCCGTCCAAAGCGATCTTTATTTACATATTCAGGAATTAATGTCCTTATCAAAATATTTTAAATCTCACAACGTATAAATACTTCAGCCATTTGAAGAAAGATAATTAAAAAGTTGACAAGAAATTTAAGGTCAACTTTGTCTTATTGGAATGAGATCGAATAATTAAGAACAAAAATTATTTTGAGAAATGTGGGTTTGAGACAGAAAAAAATAATTATTTGGGGAGGAATATGGTGGCAAAATACCTGAATCGCCGTTATATATATTTTTTATATTTTGCGTTAGCTCAGTTTTTAAATAGATGGGTGAGTATTTTGTTGTAACATCGGAATTCTGAATAACTTTCAATGAAATAATTTTATAAATAAAAATGGCCCACGAAAACGAGCGTATAAACCAAAAACTGTGCTATTTTGAATTGTGATCGGTAACCTTGAATATTTAAATGTGCAGAGAAAATTATCAGTTACATTAATATAATTTGGTCCGTCCAAAGCGATCTACATTTACCTAATCGGGAATGTCCTTATTAAAATATTCTACATCTCACAACAAATACTTAAGCTCTTTGACCAACGATGTTTAAAATTTTTTACAGAATCAATCTAACGTCAACTTGCCTTTATTGAATGGAGACAGACCGGCGGAATCAATGTTCAATGTGCTTTATATCTTGTACCTTTGTAAGACTTATCATTCATTCATAAACCATGTCTATACCGCAGACATATATATACATATAATTATATGTCTGTCTTAACTGACAAGAATACTCCTGGTTTTACTCTAGTAATTTGTTGGGGCGCTTTATAGCTTAATTGCTGTTCGGTGTGAGCCAAGGCTCCGTGTTGAAGACCGTACTTTGACCTATAATGGTTTACTTTTATAAATTGTGACTTGGATGGAGAGTTGTCTCGTTTGCACTCATACCACATCTTCTTATATCTATAAGCAGTATTATCTTTAAATTTCTGTGATTTAATACCAAGAAAAAAAAAAATCCCGAAATAAATTTGATACTTTGATACTCAATATTTTTCCTGGAAAATATTCACATCCTCATTCGGTCTGAAAATAAGATAAGAAACTGGTATACAGAACATACAGAAGTGTGAATGTCATAAAACCTTGTTATATCAGAAACCATTATAAATGTGAACCTGTATACGTAAGACCTCATGGGACGATGTACCTAACCACATACAGGTAATATACAAGTAGCTCTGTTATACCCGGAAATGTCAAGGTTAATCACTACCGATACAGAATGTACCAATGCAAAGTAAATTCTGATGATTGTGAAGCATGACCATTCATGATTTTAGAGGAGTATTAGGTGGGGGATTGTCGGAACGATTTAAATTCTGACTAGATTTTTTCTCAATTTAAATCACTGAATAAAAAAAAAAGAAAGGAGAAAACTACGTCCAAGAACAGAATTCTTCTTGTAAATTCATAAATACAACGTTCTTATTTTGTAACTTTCGATAGACTTGACCTCCACCCGAAAGGAAAGTATAAACTTAAAATAGATTTATGATGAATAATATGCAACTGCGGCACCCCTTTTTATCAAAGCGTACATGCATGTATTTTAATGACTGTCCGTTATTTCGATCATAATGACAATTGTATGTGAAATCCTATAGTTGGTGAGACTTTTTTTTTTACCAGATATGCGACTTTTCGTATTTATATTTTCTCTTATATTACTCTTATTTAATATTTTATGCATAAGTGCAATAGTGGGAATGGTTTATTCCCCCACAAGCTAACGTAATAAATTAATCAACCCTCAAGCTGATCAGACGTTAATACAACTACTATCAGTCTAGTGAATCCGGAGTGAAGTTTCTTTATTTCTTCAAATAAACTTTTGGGGATCATTAGTGTACGTCCAGTGGCATATATATTACATGCATGTCGGAACAGGAAAATTGGCATAAGGTTCTATTAGAACCATGTTCACATTAATATACATTATACCCAACAATTGTGATGATGACGAATTTCTTCAACTGTTCGAGAACAATCTAATTGAAATATAAATCTGTGATTTTACTATGTCCATAACTTCGATGAACCAAAGCAAGTTAGATATCGACCTGTATTTAAATCAAATTGGTTCTAGATGTTCTTTCTTATATTCAATATACAATTTTAAATTGCGACTATCTATAGTTCCGTAACTTTCTATCTAGGCGTATAAACCAATGATCGACAAGTGCGTATTTTTTAAATCAATAGTTTTTCATGTTTCAAAATGTCCATCATTATTGACAACGAGTATATACTTACATTTTCCCCAATTTACCCTTGGAAAAATATGTAAATAGATTTTTATTTTATCAAATCTTTTTTTGGAATTATTTAGATTTTCATAAATATCACTCTTTACACTAGAAATGTTATTTATAAACAAGCGTATGAGTTTAGTAATGACTAGTATATCACTATCGGACACGCAAGACAAAGATGTATATTACACCTGATAGTTTTAAAATGGAAAGTTACAAGTTATCGGCCGTGTACACTTATCAATACCCTCAGAAGTGAAGCGATGCATGAACATGCTTTATGTAATTGTGTAATAAGAGTTTTTAAACCCGACAGGAAATCGCTTGAATACCTGGACGTGTCACCTCACAATACCTCAGGGAATAATTCCTTTAGCAATGCTGGTGATCAGATAAGAGAAGGTCCGAATTTATTTAAATAAGTTTATTACATAAAAGAATTATGAACAAATTAGATTTTCGAAAACGATTTTACATCGAACACTTATTTATGACTTTGAACTTTGACTTTTTAACTAATTCCCATATAAATTTCTTGTTTCAAAAACTTCGTAAAGAAAAAACAGTTTTAAAACGACAGACCATAGTTATTTAAAAAAATAATTACATTTTCCGTATCAAGTTAGTTAGTCGGATAAATGCGACTACGTTAGGTTACTGCTGGTTTTGGTCCTTTGTGGTTTATAGATATATCGGGGTTTCTAAACCGAGAAGATGTCAAAATGGCCGCACGCAGAGAATTGATACTCTAAATTTAAAATCGATGGTGATCTCTTATCTAGCAGAATAAAACTTTAATATTTATGAATTTGTGCTTTTTTATACAGAATGGACATAATATCAATTTTTTATTTTTTTGCGAAGTTTCCCTTTAATAACATGTCAAAAGAAATTGCAAACATGTTTCCATGAAAATAACAGTTCACCATTCCTGAAGTAGACCCATCAACTGTGGAAGATGGGGATATGGGTTGATTCTTTTTGCCAGGCAACCCTGCTTTTGATATCCAAATGGGCAATCAAGAAAACATTTCGTACAACCTATGACACATGAAAATTCCAAACTGTTTGTGGTCATCTTTTGTTTCTTTTTACTAAACGTCTTTCCAGTCAGGATGGGTCCATTTCATATATGAGGATGACACAGCTTATTCCAAAATGATTCAAAAAAAATCTTACGGGTCAGAATAATGATATCGCTCGGGGTAAAATATTTAGCATAAAGGACCAATCCGTGGTAAAATCACAATAAATTCAAGCCCCCATGAATTATTTCTTAATTAACATTGGATTTCATTCTGTTAAATCATTTGCATAAATAACATTTCAAGATCTGTTTGATTGTCTATTTGTAATGGTATTTACAATTCAAAATTACTAGGAGCTCTGAAGTAGATAATCCTTACTTGACAAGTTTGACAGCAAAGTTCTGTAAGGTTCCATTTGCAGCAGCCGCAGCTATGATGAGATCAAAACTTTTCCCAGATAACATATGACACAATACACTGATTAAGGCTTCTTGGTTCTTAGAACAGTCAGCATCTAATGTCTGCAATTATATATTGCTAGATATAACCAACACAATAAGTATATGAACAAAAAGGTCAGTTATCTGTTTATGTGTGTAAATGTGTTCTTGTCTAATGAAGGCTTACAATTGTTTACTTTTATTTGTTCACTATAAAGTTTATCACATTCAATAATTGTTAAGTTCATTTATTTTTTTAATGCATTCCAAGTTTTCATACAAACATTGCATATTTTTGTGGTGTTTATAAGATTTATATAGCACTATTTGGAGCTACTGGTTTATCTACATATGAGAAAAAAAAGCCATGGTTTTTTATGTTTGATGTGTTAAAACTACTATAAAAATAAACTTGTTGATTGATGGAGGTCTAACACTGGAAATATGGACTCTTCATTATCAAACCTTATACTGGTATATTAGCAACCACTTGAGACCCTTAAGTTCTGTAAAACCCTTTTATAGCTATAACTACCACCTAGTGGGGATGCAAGACAACAAAAGTACTACTGAAAAACAAACATGCAACAATTTATATGTCATTTGCAAATATTAGAGTGACCCTTGGAAAAACTATTTAGAAAAATGCTGGGCAAGGATTACTTATACTCTGTCTAAAGAAAAATTATATACTACATGTATATATCAGTCCAGTATCTGCAAAGATGGCCATTAACAACACATTCCAAAAGTCATTTTCCTAACTTCAATTGCACAAGAAAAATAATAAATCAACCAGGTTACAGAAGTAACAACTTTTAAATGGCTCTTTAATTGAATCAGTAAGAAAAATACCAAGTTGCAAATACAAGGTCAAAACAAAACTAAACACTCATTCTAAGAAAAAAAATACATTGATTATTAAAGTTAAAGTTAATATACAATCCACTTTTAGTTGAGCAGTGTAAGGCACAAGCTATAAGAATGCATGCAAAAACACCTTTAAAAAAGTCTACTATCTAACATTTTGCAAGAAAAAATGGTGGATATTTTGTATGTGTGAATATAGTGTATATTACTTATGAGAAAAAAAACATGTACTGAGAAAGTCAAAGAATGTAGGTAAACCCTTGTTTGAAGTATTTCTTAATATAAAATGCTTATACGATATATCTTCTTTTTTTTTGTAAATAAAAATCATGGAAAGGCCACTATTTCCCTTTTCTTGTTTTAGTACTAGATGGTAATTAACATTAATGCTGGAAAAAAATTCCATACAACACAGATTTTTTTATGGCAATCCTGATAACTTGTTAAAAGTATAAAAGAATCAATTGAAAACATCAATTTCAGCTATATGGATTATTAAGGTGCATTTTTGTGGAACATAATTGGTCATATACATGTATTTAATTCTAAGTCCTATGATGCAAAACAATAAAAGATTTAATGAGTAATGCCTTTTACAGATGCATAAATTTTTTTAAAGTAAATAAACTAAAACTCTTTAAATAATTGCCAAAATCATTCTTGTTACCAGTGACAAATTATTGTTAATTTTTTCCTTCCACTACTTATAATTTATATTTTTTTTTTTTTCAAAATTAATAAGACAATATTCTTCTTTAATGACTATGTACCAAATTGTCACAAATTTTTACATTTTAAAAAGATCTTGATAAAAACACATATTTTTAAATTGTGTAAGTTTAGATAATAAAACTGTCACATTTGTACTATGAAATTAGACACTAAGTTAAATTAAAAGTGTTACATGGATGCAATATTTGAAGGCAACAAACCAAACAACATTAACATCTATAATGACAAACAAAAGTGGTCCAACCACATCTGGTTCTAAGCTTACTATTCTAATGTACATTATACTTCGATGTAACAAGGAATTTTGATTCAATTACAAATGATAAATTTTCATAAAACAATGATTATTTAGCTTCTTCACAGAGAGAATTACAAAAAAATAAAATTCAGTCACTGCAGATGATTGTGAAGTTTTTCAAGGACATAACACCAGTTAGAAATCATTACTTTTACATCTTTATTGTAATCATGAATTTAATGCAAATACACAAGAAATTTATCTGTTACATGCTTTAAATACAATTTAGACAAAAGATATGTGACTCTCTTGTCTGTCATAAAACTAAACAAAACTACTAAAGATTACTACCACTACGACATACATTTGCACTGGAGCTGTTCAGAGCAGAGACATTTGTATGCAGAGTCTGAAAGTAAAATAAATCACAACCATAAGAAGCTGAAATCTTATTGGAGTCTTCTTGTGAATAAAGAGAAAATAGAGGTAGTCTTCACTGTTTAAGCTGTCTAGAGAAAGTTTTTCATACTTCATGTGCTAAGTAGGTTTGTTTCAACAATAAATGTTTCCTTGTCCCTTTTCTGATTAATTGTTTGATTGATTGTTAGTGTTTAATGCCACTTTTAGAACTCTGCCATATCATGGCTGCCAATTTTCATTGGTTGAGGAGCCAGAGTACCCAGAGAGAACTAGCAACCTTCAGCCAGAAAACAGGCAATCCTATTCCATTATTGATTGGGCTTGATCTTTCCACTAGCATGTTGAAATTCATAACATAAGTGTTGATAGGCTAGTGATCATTTTAGATGAATTACTTAGACCTCTCTGTCTTCTTTTCTGATAATCTATGCAATTTAGTATTAAAGTAATATATCTGTTTCCATGAATTAGTAAGGAATTACAGGAATCAAAACAGGAAGGTAAGAATCTTTTACCAACAAAAAAAAGTTGATCCAAAGAACCAAAACCAATCTTTCATAGTTTCTCTAGACAGGCTTTTCTTTACTGACTTCATCAAAAACTGTGTGGACATGAATATTTATTAGGTTCATAAACTGGTTATTTGGAATAAATGGATAATTTTATACTCCACACTTTAATTTCAGCTTCTTTAATTAAAATAAATGTACATATAATATGTTGAATATATACAGCAAACAATATATTTTAATTAACTATAACAGAATCCCAGACAATGAAAAAAAAACTTGTGTAAAAAAATTAAATTAAGAAAAGAATTAAACAAGATATCATGGCTGATCCATTAATTTCTTGCTTTCAGAAAACATTTTTACTGAATTTGTGAGAGACCATGTGGCTTGAACAGGATTTGAAACCCAAAAAATATTCTAAGGTTCTTAAAGTTTAGAAAATGTTTGAATTTGCCACTCTTAGCTTTAAAAGAACAATAAAAGCTCCTATAAGCAAATCAGTGCAAAAAAGACAATTAAAAGATGCAGTGTTGGATTTCTATGACAAGCACTTTATAATATATAATATTCATGCCAATTATCATTTCAAATCTATTGGTTCATGATTACTGCTACAATAAGTAAGATGCCTTCAATGTTCTTCCTGAATTCATTGAACGCAGGTTATGTCGCATGAGCAACAGTTTCCTCTAATGTTAACAGGTAACTAGGATACAACTTTAAACTAGATTTTCTTATTACAGAATAAGCATTTGTATAGTAATTATGAAAAGAAAACTTTCATGTATCACTACTGTAAATGACACAATATAATTTTTTCAATTCGACAAAAGATGAATTATATCAATTATAGTTGCATTAATTCATTTTTCTTGTAGAAGTCTATTATAATATTCCTGCTGTAATGATAAGACAACTGTTACTTGATAAAGGAAATGACATTAACCACTTAAAAAGAAGGAATAGTGACTTATTGATAACCTTCAAAATACTCACAAAGACAAGATGATTCCTCATTCATATTGTGTTGATTATTACCTGTAATATACAAGGCTATGAGGAGATTCTCTGTAAATACCTTTAAGATACTGCCAACTGTAGGTTCAGCCTTAATAATAAGGCTAGGTGTAGGCTTTGTAGCAACATCACTGGCCTTGGCAGGTTTTTCAGATTCAGAGCTCCTACAAAAAGGGTATTGTCATATGTGTATCTTCCAGTATAACTCAACAGTCACACATAAAAATGCAAATTATATGCAAATTGAAGTAAAGTGAGTATTTTGGTTTTGACCTGATTTAAATGATACATTTTGACTGTGAATTTTCAGTTTATTAATTATGTAATTCTATGTAAAATATTCCTGCAACTCTCCTAGGCAAAATTGACCCAAGATGCTTTTAGCTATTCTGGTTTAGTTTTAAGTGTTAATGCCCCTGAATGTCATAAGTATCTAGCCTGCCCCTGTATGTTGTACTAACTTCTTAGAGTTTCACTTGATGAAAATTATTCCAGAAACCTGTTCCTCAAATAGAATCTGGTAAAATAATTTTCTATACATGTATTATTATGGAAATGGCTTTAATTCATACATAATAACAAATACCTTCTATGTAAGAGTCTTTGAGACTGGCCCTCAGTAATCAGATCATGCTTAGTAAACTCTAGTAACAGAAACTGAACACAATCACAGCTAGAATAGATAAATATTTGAACATTTTTATAGTCAAAGAATTAAACATGTATAATTACTGTGGACACAACCTAAAAGAATATATGTAATATACATCCTACTTTCACCTTGAAAATAGTGTTAAATTCACATAAGGTATGAGGTAAGTTTTTATCACTAAATTTGAGGGTTTGTTTTTTTTACAATCACAATATGCTATAAAGTAATTGACTATAATCCTTCTAGTATACCTTCTATTTTTAACTTTTTCAAATTCAGACAAAGTATGAGTATATATTAACATTCCTTTTCTGTACTGTCAAGAAGCCTGTCAGCTTTACACTCACTTCAGTTTGATGTCAGTTATGTTCAAAAGAGAGGGAAGTTCAAGATTTATGCCATGTTATATCTCCATATTTTCTAGGAGCCAGTTCTTGTTATACTTACTTGAGTTTAATATCAGTCAAGTCCAAAAGAGGAACAGAATTAAGAAGTAGATCTATGCCTTGCTCTATTTCTGTACTGAAATCATTTCTTGGAGCCTGCTGGTTCATCTTTACAACTACTTGTGGAAGCTGCAAGAAAATTACTTAAAAACACACTACTAAGAGTTCAAACTATAGTAAATCCATCCAATATTTTTTTCTGTCCAATATACAAATGTATCTGACCACCAGTATACTCTCAAGCAAGTATTTAAAAACAATCAACCCATGATTCTTCAAAGCAGAGTTCATTTTGTAAAATAAAAATCTGTTTGAGTTGTCAACATGTAAATTAAATTTACTTTGGCATGGCCTAGACAATAGTAGCATTGTTTATGAATTATGACACATAAAAGTAAACGAACATTCTTCAGATTTTTCAAAAGCTTTTAACACATCTTAACCATCCATCTAAATTGAATATGTTATGTCAATTTTTGCCTTAATCAACTATTATAATTGTATTTATAAGTCATAATCTATATTTCTTAATGATTACATGCTTCACTAACTACAATTATTGGTCTTTTTTCATCCTTCTGTAAGTATATTGAAACGTCTTCAAAATCATATCATTAAAATTTGAAACCAACAATCCCTTCCAATTTTACAACATACACAATATCCTACCTTTAGGTATGTGAAAGCAGCCCAGTTCAATTCATTATCCTTTTCATTAGCATCTATAAGACCCATGAAACATGCCCTAATCAACTCACTGTATAAATATGGTCGTGTTAACTTCTGAAAATATAAGATAAAAACTATGGAAAAGTGAATGCTGCACATTTTACCTATTAAATCAAGTTATATTTTGATGTAATTTTTCCCTTGACCTTTAAAGGGGCACTAGCTACGAGATATATAAATAATCTAAAATATGATTTTTTTTTATCAATCATTAATGAAAGTGAAATAGTAAAATAATAATTCGCTTTTAGCAGCCAGTAGGGTTCAATTTTATCAAAATAAGCTAAGAAACATTGATGATGAATTATTCACTTGCAAGTGAATAATTCGACCTAATTGAATCCTTATTCATGTGAACTTCAATGTAACCCCTTAGCTAGAGATTGATAACGCATGCATTGTGTGTGTTGAGTTATTTAAAGGAAAAGAATGTCAACTTTGAAAGTGAAACAAAGGTAAATCATTTGATTGACTGATTCGATCCACAAAAAATCATTCTTATACAGGTAAAAACAATGATTAACATATATTTTTAATCTATAATATGAAATTAAACAGACCTAGAAAAATCCAATTGCACGAGTTCGCTTAATCTATTTATATCTATATTTATGTTTATATTGCTTATATGACCATCGGAGGTGTTCGGAGGTCAACTCGGTTGTTAATTAGATGGCGTCTAGACTAAAATACACACGAAACGAAGCTACATATTATCGAGTCCATGCTCTGTATATTGTTTATTTTAGACTTTTTATAGTTTAGATAAATGTTTTACATTGTTATAAAGCAAATATGAGAATTTGAGTGAAATCGGTGAACATGAATTTGACAGCTAGTGCCCCTTTAACTTGAACAAGAAGTTGCATGTTTTGTCATGCTAGGAATACCCCTTTTTCTCAAACAAAGTCATAAATTAGTATGAAATACATAATGAAATTGTAAAGTAAATATTGAAATTTGTCTTACAGGCTAATCTATTTGAGAATTTATCTAGTGCATAAAGTTGAGTTTGCTTGTTTGATAGGTTAATCTAGAATTCTTGATTAGCTGTTGTAAATATAGTTCAAAAACAAGTTTTCAGTCATTTTTCTGAAAACTGTCTCATGATTTGATTGGCTGGTAATAACTATTGTTATTCTTTCAATAGGCAATGAGTATGAGAAATGGTGATTTCATGGTCCCCCTAGCAAACAAGAAAGTTAAGCTAACTTCAATGCTTTTTGTACACAGCCAAGTTAACATGCTGTAAACTCATGAAAACAATCATAAAAGAGAGAAAAAGTTTGTCTTCAACCCACTGCCTCTGAGTAGATCTCCATCTTAAAGTAAAGACTTCTATTATTCTACACTTAGTCAAACACTTATAGTTATATGTGGTTCAGAGCAACAGAGAAGCATACCATGAGTTTCTCTGTAACACATATCTGTTCTGCAAATGGCTGTATATCATTGGTTGGATTCAGTATGGCTTCTATAGCAACTAGCACACTGATGGATGGACATATTGGTAAGGTAGTCACTTCTAATACTGCCTGACTTGGAGGTGCAAATTCTTGTATCCTAAAATCAAATTTGAAAAAGACAAAAAATATATGGAGAATGTGTCCATGGGACACAAATGATGCCCCAGCTTACATATAACGTTATAACTTGAGAACGGTAAAAGTGAGGCCACCCAAATTCGAACTTGATTTGTGTTTTGTGGTAATAAGCATTGTGTATATGTTTCATAACATTTGGTTGAGGCAAACTAAAGTAATAGAATGGAAACCAATTTCGGGACACATGTATGTACGAACAGACAAGGGTAACACTTAATGCCCCCTCTGGTGATGGTGAGGGCTAGTCCAAATAATTATGACGTCTTGAAAGGCTATTTTAATTTTTTTCTGTGACGCCTTCCTACGACGTCATAACGCTGAAGCCATTTTTTCCGTCTGGACTTTGAGAGCAAATTTTGAGGGGAACTTTGAGACTCAATTTTAGCATGAAATTTTCATTGCCAGCTAGAAATTTTGGCATAGTTACAAAGTCCTACCTTTTTTGTGCTTAATGATGCAAAATATTTCCAGAAATATCCAAAAGATATGATAAAATAAGATACGATTCCATTTGAGGTGAGCAAATATTTACTTTAATTTCAAAATGGTTTCCCAGAATTTCCAAAATACGTCACTTCCGGAGAGTATAAAACATCAAACTCGGTAAAAATTTGATGGACCAGAATTTCCGGAACGTTCGATTTATATTATCCGGAAATTTGGGTCTGCCAAATATTACCGAGTTTGATATTTTATACTCTTCGGAAGTGACGTATTTTGGAAATTCTGGGAAACCATTTTGAAATTAAAGTAAATATTTGCTCACCTCAAATGGAATCGTATCTTATTTTATCATATCTTTTGGATATTTCTGGAAATATTTTGCATCATTAAGCACAAAAAAGGTAGGACTTTGTAACTATGCTAAAATTTCTAGCTGGCAATGAAAATTTCATGCCAAAATTGGTTCTTAGCATTGTGTATGAGTTTCATAAAATTTAGATGAGGAAAATTTAAGTTTGAGTGCAGAAACAAAAATTGAACGAACGGAAAGACAGAAGGACAGGTAACACTTAATGCCCCCAATGCCTATAACAGGGGCATGAAAACTAAATTAGACCACTTAATCACTAGCCCCTCTGATTACTAAGTTCATGTTTATAATTCTGGATCACAAAATAAATAAACTACCTACTTTGACAAAGAATTTAACATTGCTGTTACTTTCTGTCTCGCCTGTGCTGGTAAAGCATCATTGTGAATCTGACTCAATGTTCCACGTACATTCACTTCTGTTTGTTCAAATTCTCTAAACTTATCTACAATGAACCAAGACATAAATATATATATCAGATATAATCTTAAGGAAACAGTTTTGGAAATCATTAACAACATGAGAGAGCTTTTATATTCAAATTTGTTATCCTTTTCATTTTTACACTGATTAGATAGATTTCTTTTATTCAATTTTGTTCCTAGTAAACTACATTTCAAATCATATGTGCAAGACTAAAGTTGAAAAATACTGCTTTGGAAATTTTATAACTGGTTATAAAAGACTTTAATTTATAAAGATAATGAGAACACTTTATTAATCATGTATAGGCTTACTTACTTACATATTTCCTTTAAAAACATACAATTTACTTGTTGGTTGTAACATAACATGAGTACATCTAATGGATTAGTTGAATTAGAAAGAATACAACTTGGTCGAAAAAGTCTATGATAAAAGGATATTGATAGACAATGAAGTACAATATAACTTAAACTCTACTTACCCATGTCATCAGACATAGTCACATACAATAAATCCTATGTACCCATGTCATCAGACATAGTCACATACAATAAATCCTACTTACCCATGTCATCAGACATAGCCACATACAGTAAATCCTACTTACCCATGTCATCAGACATAGCCACATACAATAAATCCTACTTACCCATGTCATCAGACATAGCCACATACAATAAATCCTACTTACCCATGTCATCAGACATAGCCACATACAATAAATCCTACTTATCCATGTCATCAGACATAGCCACATACAATAAATCCTACTTACCCATGTCATCAGACATAGCCACATACAGTAAATCCTACTTACCCATGTCATCAGACATAGCCACATACAGTAAATCCTACTTACCCATGTCATCAGACATAGTCACATACAATAAATCCTATGTACCCATGTCATCAGACATAGTCACATACAATAAATCCTATGTACCCATGTCATCAGACATAGCCACATACAATAAATCCTACTTACCCATGTCATCAGACATAGCCACATACAGTAAATCCTACTTACCCATGTCATCAGACATAGCCACACACAGTAAATCCTACTTACCCATGTCATCAGACATAGCCACATACAATAAATCCTACTTACCCATGTCATCAGACATAGCCACATACAATAAATCCTACTTATCCATGTCATCAGACATAGCCACATACAATAAATCCTACTTACCCATGTCATCAGACATAGCCACATACAGTAATGCTTGTACTGTTGATAATTCTATAACTTTCTGTATAGCAGTACTGGCTCTGTCAATGATAGAGATGTATTCCTGTTGTGGTTGCCTAGTCTCCTTTACTCTCTGTTGTGACTGTAATATACCAATCAGTAACCAGTGTATGGTACTTTGCAAACAGCGGCAAGTGGTTAGACCATTATCCATACTTGCAACAAAACTAAAAATAAAAAAGGTTTCAAATGTGTAAGTTAACATCTTTTTGAGTGCGCTTACAATGTCAACATCTTTTTTACCCTGTGAATAACAACACAGTTATATTGTAGATTTGTCTTTCATGGTTAATGCATTACGTTTCATAGACATTATTTAATTTACAATCCATACTGAGCTCTTTATGAGACTCAGAGATTGATAATGTTAAAAGCAATATTGACATTAATTGCTTCTGATCACAAAATTAGTGAATTATTATTGCTTTTTAAAGCCAAACATTAAAAACACTCTAACAATATGCTGAATGATTTAACTTTTGTAAAATGTGAGTTAAGAAATAAGCTAACTACATAATAAGACATAACTTTTTTTTTGCTTTGTAAACAAAGCCATGTTGTAATTCTAATACAATATAATTCATGAATTGAATTTTTGAACAATACCAGAGGTCAAAATGAACATTTCTGTGGGAGTTGCTTCATTATGCTTTAAACTGTAAGTCTATATATATTTGTACACTTTTAAATTATAAAATTGATCGTTTTTCCAAATATTTGTTGCTTCATCAAAACAAAACAAAATTGTCACTTGCCATAATGTATGAATAAAAGTATTGACTGATTGATGATGCGTAATGTCTTGCAACAGATATGAAATGCCTATTCAGGTCTGTTTGGATGCATTTACCATATACTCCCATGTCATTCTAATTTTATTTCTTGAAAGCTGTGTGCATATTTGAAAAGCAGTAAATACCAGATTAAAAAATTTTGATTTGATCCTATCAGGGATCCAACCCATAACCTTCAATACATAAGTGAACAAGAACACTGAGGTTGTTATTTTTTATAAACATACCATCAATCTGTAAAGTCAATGCTTTCACCTCTTTTCTAAAGAAATAAATTGTTTATGTCTTTGAATTTCTTTACATATTAATGAAAAATTGCTGTTTCATCAACTTGGTAAAAATGGAAAATTGCAGAGGACAAAAGCCACTGAAAGTGACTATTGTGAACACCCGGTCGCTAGATATCATTTTTGACGGCTGAGCAAAGCAAAGTGACAGATGAGAAAGCAACTTCTTTGCCCCACTCGTCCGCTAGCATGAGCCCTGATCCATTTTAAAATAATCCATGAAAATGTGTACCCCAGTAAAAATAGTGAGTCTACTATATTAATTTTCAGTATCATAAATTAGATCAATATTTATCAACTATGAACTTTTGACAAGGTCAATACTTTATATATAGACCTGTTCAGGTTATATTTACAGAGGACGAAGTCCGAGGTTCAATATAATCTAACAAGTCGATATATAACATATTGACTGAGTGAAAGTCCTTAATTTATATATTACATATGTAAATAGTGTATTATGGAAATAGATTTCAATGTTCTTTCTGTGTATTTTGCAAGATTTTTAATACTGACTGTCAATACATATATAAATAGGAACATAGCATCCATATACTTAAATACCCTTTGAATCACCTGATCCTAATAACCAATTAAAAAAGAAGAATGCTACACTATATGTAATATTTTCTGTTATTAAAGCTATACATTATTCGGTATCTGAAGTTTAAAGCTATATTTTTCTAGTGTTTGATCTATATCTAATGCAATACCTGCAGCTTGGCCTAATTTACTACCATTTGAGCGACATACTATAGAATACCTGAAATTTGTGGCAATATTTTCCACCATATTGATGAGACCTAGTATACAGTAAGGTTTGGAGAATTCATCATACTTTGTTATAAGTCCTAATGCAGTATTGTAAGGTATAACCTGAAAATAAACAATCATCTAGTACACGATATGTTGAATCTGAATTCCTTAATATACGTTTGTACCTTAATTTCATGTAGCTTTTCCTGACACTCAATAATCTGTTTATAAGATTGAAGGAATAAAAATGTTTAGAGACCACCAGGGTATTTGAAAAATAAATTTTGAGATGTTTTAACTGTACCAATGATAAGTAGTTGTTTAAATATTAAAAATTAGGAGATGTGGCCTGGTAACTATGTGAATACAATGAGACAACTATCCATTATAGACAAGGAGTCACCATACAAGTTTAAACTACAATGTATGAGCAAAACCCATACTGTATAGTAAGCTATAAATGCCCCTAGGAGGACAAAATGTGAAACAATTTAAAAAGAGAAAATTTTAATCATGTGAAACATGATTAAACATCTTAATTTTCTATTGTATTTTCCAAATATATATATATAGGTTTATTTTTCAAGAAAATAAATGATACATGTAGATATACCTGAGAAGTAACACTTTGCTTCATATATGATAAAATCAGATTATTTGGATTTGGTCCAACTAAGGCTTGCTGCATTAAAATTTCTATAAATATATTAAAAGATAAGTTTTATATGAATACATAAGACAAACATAATGAAGTTATGCTCAATTGCTAACGAGTATACCAGTAAGGATTTAAGCTTTTCATTGAATGAAAGAATGGATTATTTTGATTCTAATAGGACAAATACGGTATTTTTTATAGGTTGAAGCGTACGAAAATATCTTAGAAATGTTTGGCTGTTCCCGTTTCCTCCATATGAGGTATACATGTGCATGTACATTACATTTTCACATTTAATCAGTTTTAAAACTAACAGCAGGGTAAATATGTGTTGTTTGAATAACAATATGTAATAAAATATTACGTAAGCAGCTAAAATGTATATATTTTATCAGGATACAAATGAAAATAACGAGAATGTAAACAATAAGTTTGTGTGCATGTGTCAAACATATTTGGTGCTAATTCGAACAAAGCTTTGTTAACAAAGCGAAATAAGGATGTCATATAAGAATACAATATATTCATTTTTTAATGGCTAATGCACATTCTTTATAAATCTAAGAAGTAAACAATTTATATGGCAAAACATGATTCTACACAATGAATTACAAATGTATATAAATGGATGTCATCTTTACATGGTGAGTATTTATAAAGTATGAATTACATCTCTTAGTAAAATAACTCACAAAAATATTAAGTGAACCTTATTTTAAAACTAATGTTCTATAATGTCTCTTTTCAAAATTAAGACTTAATGAATATACATGTGTGCCTGCAAATTCCTGTCCACTAAACCTAAGATTCTTCCTTCTATCCATCTACATACCTGCCAATTCTTTTGCTTCTCCAGGTACATCAAGCAACATCTTCTTTAACATAACTCCCCAATGGTTATCCTGCCAACGCTCTCTCCATGCTCTCATCAACAATGTCTTTACTTTGTTACAAAATATACTGCCTTTTGATTGGTTAGAACTAGTTGGTTCCATTTTCTTCTCATATATGAATAACAGGAGAAATGGGATATACCTCAACCTACAGAATAAAACATATTTTTCATGAGATATACTTCGCATCTGTTAAAAATTGGTGCATGATATCTATAACTTAATAAAAATTCATTGTACATTAATATTGTATAGATTTTTATAGGTTAATTTGACCGCCCCCTATTTCTACTTACTATTTTTATGACTTAACCAGGGCCTAATCTAGGATTTTGAAGAGGGAGAAGTGACTTCTCCTTCCATGAGAGAGAAGGGAGAAGTGGTCAACTTCTTGGAGAAGTGAGATTCCATTACCGTTTCGGTTGCATCATGTTTTCAAGCTTATCACTAAGGAAATTGTTTTATATTCAATAAAAGATGTACTTGCAGTTTTTTCATATGTTATTGTACACAATGTATATATAGAAAGTTCTTAATAAAAAGGTTTAAACAATATATAGTTGTTATTTATTTATTGATACCATAATGTGTTCTAAATAAAATTTGTTGATTGGGACATGAGGGAGTAGCCTAGTAATATTATCAAGATTATGATGCATTAAATTCATGTGCATCTGCCTCAATTTATTTTTAAAACTCAAGAAAAATATGATGAATTTCACATGACTGGGAATTTAATTTATATCACTACTTGTCATTGTTTTGTAAAACATTATTGAATGTCCAGGACATTTATGTTAGTTGTAGTAAATTGAGATTATCGTTAAAGATTGTAAGTCTATAAATGAAAATATCTTTCAATCTCAAGTTAATTATCCGATAAAGAGCTAATTTCTATCATTTTTTAAAAATGTCATCCATATCAACGAAGTGGTCATGAGAAAAAATCCACTGCTGATCACAATCTCGAGTGTTGTACGTTTGCAATCACATTATCCATCAACTGTCTTTCTACCATTTATATTTCAATTTTTATTCAATGAATATAATAAATCTACCGTTAATTCCCACCCTTTACCAACCGAATAGTAAAATTGATCGACTCGTGTAGGTAATACAAATAAAACAAATCAGCTGAGTGATTACGCAACATCCTCAGATGAAAATCATCGTAAAACGTTAACTTAAACAGACAGTCAGTTTTCCTTTTTAACAGTTTTGAAAGTTATATCCGAGGATGTTCAAAGTCGCCGTTGTATTTATTTAATTTGATCGTTTACAGTATTAGTCCTGGGTCGTTTCGAAAATCTCGATTTTCCTTATCAGCCGCCATTTTTTTTACCTCTGAGACTTGTCAATCACAAATTGTCTCCCTTTTACCGATTTTGATAGCGATTTGACTTCCCTATGAAGTCAGTCGGCCGGCGAGATTTAGCGATTTCCAAAATTCTTTGGCGACTTAAATCGTCATTTCGCCGGCAAGATTATGGCCTGCTTAACATGACAAAGATTTATTCCATCTACATGCCAATTAATAAATAAAAGTTTCCAATTCCAGTTGCTTTTCCCGTCATGCTTGTTAAAACATATCTAGAATAACAGGACACATTGATTTTTTTCAAAGGTGAATGCAAAATATGCGTATTATACATAACTGCGTACTATACACAACTAACTATGGTACATGTTAATAAACAGTAACATGGGTAAAAAATCGGAAATAAAACCAGAGGATTCATTAGGGCATATATTGATCAACCTGCTTCTTTGCACAATAAGGATTTAATCTTAATACCACTAATTATGTAAAATTATGTTCTCCAGAGACATGTTCATCTAAAACCCCTATTTTGTTTTTAAAAAATGTTAACTTTATAATACATGTATAAAAATAAGAAGATGTGTTATGATTGCCAATGAGACAACTCTCCACCAGAGACAAAATGACAGAAGTTATCAACTATAGGTCACCGTACGACCTTCAATAATGAGCAAAAGCCATACTGCAAAGTCAGCTATAAAAGGCCTCAAAATGACAATGTTAAACAATTATATCGAGAAAACTAACGGCTTGATTTTGTATAAAACAAAGAACGAAAAACAAATATGATATACATCAACAAACAACAATCACTGAAATACAGGCTCCTGACTTGGGACAGGCACATACAGAATGTGGCGGGGTTAAACTAGTTCGTTGGTGCCAAACACTCCCCCTAACCTGGAATAGTGGTTAAACAGCACAACATAAGAACAAACTTTAATAAAATGCTTCGCTGGGGCGCAGCTTGATACGACCGCAGAGGTCGAACCCTGAACAGTTGGGGCAAGTATGGACACAACATTCAAGCTTGATACAGTTCTGAATTTGGATTGTTATTAAATATTTGACACAGCATAGGTTTCTGACACAGAAAGAATGTGGTCTAAGAACTTGAATTTTTTTAATTTACTTATTTTGGTCCAATGTCCAAAATCAAAATACATGGTTAGATTCAGCATATCAAAGAACCCCATATATTCAATTTTTGTTAAAATTAAACAAAGTTTAATTTTGGACCCCAACTTGGACAAACTTGAAAACTGGGCCCATAATCAAAAATCTAAACACATGTTTAGATTCAGCATATCAAAGAACCCCAAGAATTCAATTTTTGCTAAAATCAAACTTAAGTTTAATTTTGGACCCTTTGGACCTTAATGTAGACCAATTTAAAAAACGGGACTTGAAATTAAAAATCTAAATACATGGTTAGATTTGGAATATCAAAGAACCCCAATAATTCAATTTTTGATGAAATCAAACAAAGTTTAATTTTGGACCCTTTTGACCTCAATATGAACCAATTTGATAGCGGGGCCCACAAATAAAAAATCTAAATACATGGTTAGATTCAGCATATCAAAGAACCCCATATATTCAATTTTTGTTGAAATCAAAAAAAGTTTAATTTTGGACCCCAACTTGGACCAACTTGAAAACTGGGCCCATAATCAAAAATCTAAACACATGTTTAGATTCAGCATATCAAAGAACCCCAAGAATTCAATTTTTGTTAAAATCAAACTAAGTTTAATTTTGGACCCTTTGGACCTTAATGTAGACCAATTTAAAAAACAGGACCCAAAATTAAAATTTCGTAAGGGTTCCAGTAAAATATGGAAAAAATGGAACAAAATTTTATCAGAATTTTCTTCTAGATACTATCTTATGATCATAAACAAGCTTCTTTCCAAGTTTGGTAGAAATCCAGGATAGTTTAAGAAAGTTATTAAAATTTCAAAAACTTTAACCACAGAGTGAATGTAATGTTTCCTGGCAGAAAAACTAAGTCCACTTATAAGTAAAATACAGAAAAAATGGAATTTTTTTTTTACAAAATTTACTTCTGGATACTATCTAATGATCATAAACAAGCTTCTTTCCAAGTTTGGTAGAAATCCAGGATAGTTTAAGAAAGTTATTAAAATTTCAAAAACTTTAACCACAGAGTGAATGTAATGTTTCCTGGCAGAAAAACTAAGTCCACTTATAAGTAAAATACGGAAAAAATGGAATTTTTTTTTTACAAAATTTACTTTTGAATATAATCTTATGATCATAAACAAGCTTCTGTCCAAGTTTGGTAGAAATCCATGATAGTTTAAGAAAGTTATTAAAATTTCAAAAACTTTAACCACAGAGTGAATATTTGTGGACGCCGCCGCCGCCGACGACGAAGACGACACCGACGCCGACGGAATGTAGCATCGCTATGTCTCGCTTTTTCGACAAAAGTCGAAGGCTCGACAAAAATCTAAATACACGGTTAGATTTGGAATATCAAAGAACCTCATATATTCAATTTTTGCTAAAATCAAACAAAGTTTAATTTTGGACCCTTTGGACCTTAATGTAGACTATTTTGAAAACTGGACCCAAAATTAAAAATCTAAATACACTGTTAGATTCGGCATAACAAATAAATAAATGTGATCAAAGATTTTACAAATCTAATGCGCCATACTGTGCAATTAAAGATTACTTCTTGAAATTTTTCAATATTTGAAATTTGAAAAAAAAATAATATTTGAAGAATAATTCTTTTTCATTTCTGAAATCTGAAATGAGAAAAAATTGACCCCCCACAATTTCTTTTTATCCCCCCCCCCCTTTTTTTCCCCAAAAAAATTCTTTCCCTCAAGATATGGTCATAATCTCAATTCAAATTTCCAATGGAGTTGGCAACCATAATTACCCATTTAAATTTACCATAGTGCTAACTTAATCTATTTTATAATAGAATTAAAAATATAGTGTCAAATCTTTCATATGGATTTTTTTGTAAAAAAAATGATGCAACATTTGCAGATATTTTTACTGGTCTTCCTTTATAAATATTGATTTCTTTAAACATAATTTAAAAGCAGTGTAAGGGAAGTAACCAAAACGTTGTATTTGGATTACCTCCCTTACACTGTTTTAAATTATCTTTATTGTTCATTAACCATTACTTTATACATAATTTAAAAGCAGTGTAAGGGAGATAATTTCAATGATGTATTTGATTTATCTCCCTTACACTGCTTTAAATTATGTTTTGTACTAAAGTATTTGTCCATTAACCAGGACAACCTTGTTTTTCCCCCTTTTTTGCCCCTAATTCCTAAACGGTTTGAGCCATAACCCCCCAAAGCAAATCCTAACCATCCCTTTGTGGTATGGAAACTTGTAGTATAATTTCAGAGAGATCCATACACCGTTCCACAGTTATTGTCTGGAAACTAGAAAATGCTTATTTTTGGCCCCTTTTTGGCCCCTAATTCCTTAACTGTTGGTAGCATAACCCCCAAAATCAATCCCAACCTTCCTTTTGTGGTATTCAACCTTATGGTAAAATTTCAAAAAGATCCATTCACTTAAACTAAAGTTAGAGTGCGAAAACCAATGTGTCTTCGGACGACGACGACGACGCCAACGTCATACCAATATACGAACACAAAATTTTTTTGCGGTCGTATAAACATCAGTTGAAAAAGGCTTAACTCATCAGATCGATACAATGCAGAAAGACATCTAACAAAAACACAGACAGGACGTGGCAGGGTATTTATACATCCCCACTACAAAAAAGACCCTAAAAACAGATCTGAGAGTACTCGCAGTTA